AGTAAACAAGTTTTCTTCTTGTGTTTTAAAGGCCCATTAAGTCTTTAAAAAAATTAATCATTTTTTGTGTCTCCTCTACAGAGTAGTGGAGTCTCCTCTACAGAGTAGTGGAAACTGGACCACTGTATGGACCTTTCCAGTTTTTCGTAGCCACATCTTTTCTATTTATTGCTAGGTCATCTGCTCACAAACAGTATCACAAACATAGCCATATGTTCTTTTGTGCAAACCAGGTCAACCAGTGACTATGTATTATCTCATTGTAGCAATTGGGTAACAAGTTAGCCAATTTACAAAAATCTGTAAACACTGGAAAGGTCCATTCAAATATCATCAGGATCTTTTCATCATGTAAGGAAGCTTCTTTCAAGAGGGCTTTCAGTAATACAGGTCCCTGCTTGTGCCTGAAATACTGCATGGAGGTGCACCAGTATTAAACTGGAAAGTTTCCACATGATAAATGCAGCATCAGTATACCTCATAACATAATAACAACAAGAGGGCCATGATGGCCCTGAGGTCGCTCACCTGTATATATGCCCCCCACCCCCCCCCACAACGTTGCAGGGCCAATTTTAACCCAAGGGCTTTTATTTGCACAAACTTGGTAGACACCCATAAGAAGATGTTTCATGCTAAACATCTAAGCTCTAGCTCATTGGGCTTTTTAAAAGAAGATTTTTTTTAAGTTTTTACTATACACATAATTATAGTTAAAAACAATGACACCCCTGGGGCGGGGCCAATTTTGACCCCAGGGCTTTTATTTGAACAAACTTGGTAGACACCTATTAGAACATGTTTGATGCTCAATATCTTAGCCATAGCTCTTTGAGTTCTTTAAAAGAAGATTTTTTAAGTTTTTACTATATGCCTATAGGGAAAATCAATGACCCCCTGGGGCGGGGCCAATTTTGACCCCAGGGCTTTTATTTGAACGAACTTGGTAGACACTTATTAGAACATGTTTCATGCTAAATATCTTAGCTCTAACTCTTTGGGTTCTTTAAAAGAAGATTTTTTAAGTTTTTACTATATGCATATAGGGAAAATCAATGACACCCCTGGGGCGGGGCCAATTTTGACCCCAGGGCTTTTATTTGAACAAACTTGGTAGACACCTATTAGAACATGTTTGATGCTCAATATCTTAGCCATAGCTCTTTGAGTTCTTTAAAAGAAGATTTTTTAAGTTTTTACTATATGCATATAGGGAAAATCAATGACCCCCCGGGGCGGGGCCAATTTTGACCCCAGGGCTTTTATTTGAACAAACTTGGTAGACACGCATTAGAACATGTTTCATGCTAAATATCTTAGCTCTAGCTCTTTGGGTTCTTTAAAAGAAGATTTTTTAAGTTTTTACTATATGCATATAGGGAAAATCAATAACCCCCCAGGGCGGGGCCAATTTTGACCCCAGGGCTTTTATTTGAACAAACTTGGTAGACACTCACTAGAAGATGTTTCATGCCAAATATCTAAGCTCTAGCTCTTATGGTTTTTTAAAAGAAGATATTTAAAGTTTTTTCTTTTGGTTGCCATGGCAACCAGAGTTCTGCATGGAATTAAATTCTTTGAACAATTTTTAAAGATGACCACCAAAGGAACATTCCTGTGAAGTTTGGATGAAATTGGCTTAGTGGTTTATGAGGAGATGTCATTTAAAGTAAGTTTACGGACGGACGAAAAGCGATCACAAAAGCTCACCCTGTCACTTTGTGACAGGTGAGCTAAAAATCCAATCATGTTAAGTTCATCCCAAATGTTGCTTAAACAAGATCACCTAGACAGTAGTGACACTGGCTTGAAATGTTTCAGCAAATAATCATTGACCAATGTGTGTAGATAAAGTTAAATTTAGCTTTGTACTACATTCACTTGATTCAAATGAATGAATACCAATGGTCAGCAGATGACCTCTGAAGTGTTAATATAACAAAGGTCATGCCAAACAGAGCACAGTCACTAGCAACAGCTGGAAGAAGAGGCAGCCTGCTTGATTACCGATATTTCAGAAATCAATAGTTCAGGCTTTTCCAAAAAAGATGTATTTTACAATGAAGATTTCAAGAATTTGTAAAGAAAATTTGAAGCCAGTCAATAATGCGGGACCTGATCAGACTGCACCAATTTGCACACTGGCCTCTATACTATTGGCAAATGCCAATTACTTTCAGTTCAACCTAGGTATCATGAATAAATAAAATGCTGTAGATATTTTGGAAATACCATACTGGTTTAATAATATTTTATTATAAATTTCAAATGCATGTTAAAGATCAAGCAATCGGAAGACTGATGAACACATTCCTTGCATAATCCTTTGAGATCAGGTAAAGGCTAATGTGAAAAAGTAACTTTACAACAAAAGATTTGCTGAGTCTATGAAGCAATTCACATTAAAACTGATGTTTGCAATACATTACATAATTACAATTTGAATTGTGCAGGTTATTTCATATTTACATACAAACTACAGTATATCATGTATCACAAAAATATTAGATAACATTTCCTAGCAGATCAAATTTATAAATGACCACATAATAGTGGTATTGGTTTTCCTCTGTGCACTTTTGTAAAATGCCAAACAAGTAAAAATATTTTCAAATGATCTAGATTCTGAAACTAGAGCTTAATTAACCAACAAACATAAATAAATAAACAACACCGAAACCCACTGTATTAAAGAATTTTTTCAGTATCTGCATTACTGTAACAGGACTGTTTAATGAAATTTACAGTTCGTATCACTGAAACCTTTTGCCCAACTCTGCAGCATTTTTGCCCAACTATGAAATATTTTTGTCTAACTTTGTTTCTGTTTAGATTTATCATGGAGCGTGATCCAGTAAAACTTTAACCAACAGTAAGTTATTCCAATTGCACAATATATGGACGTTAACAATAATGGCAGAAATGATAGTTTATATGTTAGTCCGAGACAATGATGTATCACACTGTTATACAGTTCTAATGGCACTATTCCAACAATGTACAGCGACTCTAGTGTAGATAATAATGGCAGAGATGTGTAGCTCCAAGGTAATCTGAAAATATCAAAAGCAACTGTACAACATATGGTAATAGAAAATCAATACAAATAACATTATTATGACTCAATGTAGTTTATCAACTTGTTGAAATTTCGCCATTAAAACCAGTTTGAATTTGATTTTAGTGTCACAGCATTATTGCAAAATGATGATAAGATAACAGGTGTAAAGCTTCTAAAGGTGAAATATGCAACAAAAATTCTATAAAATATACAATCACACTGTTTTCATACACTTGTTGTCTTTTCATAGAACAATTTTTACAAAGAGTGTCTTTTGTTATTCAATGCACATGATTGTTTCTCACTATTCAGAATATAACATTCCATACCATTAACAAAATATGTGCCTGCTATTTTCAATAGGGGGTTTAGATACGATTCCATGCATGGGCTGCTCATTTTCATGTAAATTTGGGAGCATCATTGTATTTAGATACTTTGTTAACATCCTTATCACAAGACCAAACAAGAGCACTGCTAGGCAGAGCATTGTATGCCCGAAAGTGTTTATTTTACAGGGAATTCCCCAGGAATTTTTTTAAGCGCTACATTTTTTTAATAAGACGGGGGTGGGTGCGTGAGGGGGTCTTGACCCCCATACCGCGTGTCGAAAATTTTTGCCATTTAAGGTGTCAAGATACTGCTGTGGGCTGTTTTAAAACAAATAATGAAAGCTTTTCACTTGATAAACATTTTCTTAATTTTTATTATTTACTTTTTCCATTTCCAACAATTCAAATAAATAAACAATTATATATAAACACAAGTTCACAACATGTGATCAACATTTATATGTATGTGTGTGTCCCATTTAAATGAGTATATTTCAGTTGTTTTTTCTTCAATTAACATCATTAAAAGTGGCCTGTCTTCTAGGTTTGTTGTCCTTCCATGCCTTGACTGCCTTCTCAAAGTTGAAAGATTCTAATGGGGGTCCTTAAAGGGAGACGGCAAGAAGATAGTTTAGAACTTTAAGAGAGACAATTCCTGTTTTTCAGTCTAACTCTCTTCAGGCAGCTGAATCCTTGCTCAAAATCTGAAATTAATACATAAAAGTAATCATTTATGTTAACCTCATGTCTTTTATTTATATTGTTTGTTTGATTTGAAAATTTAAAAACTTCCAGCCTGTTTAAACTTAACTAAGTAAAAAAATTATATTTGAAATGTTGAAAAACTTCTAGCAAAGTGTTACACATCTGCAACTGTCATTGGAATTTCATTAATGTTCAAGAATGAATGAATTTAATAATGCTTACCTGCAGTAGAGGTTGGAGGAGGATACCTACAGCAGCAATTCTGTAAAGAGCTGGATGACTGGTAGAAAGGTTGCCAGTAATCCAGGTCATGGTCTGGTCGGCTGACTGATCAGTCCCCTCTAGACTGGCGCGTACCTGGTGCCAGTGGCTGCGGCACTGCTCCATATCTACACCAAAGTGCCTGGCCAGCTCCTGTATGTCCTGACAAACCAATGCTAAAGGGTTAGGACAGTAGATTGCACTTCACAAAGCTGTCCATGAACAGGCTCGATTAAAAGAGGGCCTGCAAAGTTAATATTTTTTTCATTTTGGGGATTCACTGAACAGAAACAGATTACAAGACATTTTAATTAAAAAAGAAAATGACCAATTGGCTGTCACGAAGTGGGATTGTTTGATGTAAAGTTTTTGTTGTTGTTTTCACTCATTTGCAAGTTGATAATGAACAGTCGTAAATGTTTTCAATGTTAAAGTAGCCATCAACCAAATTTATTTCTGAATATCTATGCAGTTTAATCAAAGATTAAAAAAAGAAAAACAAGAGCCGGTTGAACCGGGTGATGCTCCCCGAATAGGTTTTGGACACAGGAAGGTATACCTCTTGTAGTGTCAGAGTTATGTCACAGACTAAGTTCAAAGTATAAAAACAACCCAAATGTTGTGCACGACACATTGTCTCAATATGGTGATCATTTCTGTGAAAAAGTTGTAAAATCAGACTTCAAATAAGGAAGTTATGGGCTAGACACAATTTTGCTGCAAGGTCATGCTGTGACCTTGACCTTCAAGGTAGCACCCCAAATGATGCATGTGACACGTCGATTCAATATGGTGATCATCCCTGTGAAATAGTTGTTAAATCCGACTTCAAGGAACGAAGTTACTGGCCGAACGCAATTTTGCTGCAAGGTCATGCTGTGACCTTGACCTTCAAGATAGCAACCCAAATGTTGCGCGCAACACATCATCTCAATATTGTGATCATTCCTGTAAAATATTTTTAAAATCTGACTTCAAATAACAAAGTTATGGGCCGGACAAGATTTTGCTGCAAGGTCATGCTGTGACCTTGACCTTCAAAGTAGCGACCCAAATGTTGGGGGCGACACGTTGTCTTAATATGATGATCATTTTTGTGAAATAGTTTTAAAATCCGACTTCAAATAACAAAGTTATGGGCTGGACATGATTTTTCTGCAAGGTCATGCTGTGACCTTGACCTTCAAAGTAGCGACCCAAATGTTGCGTGCGGCACGAAGTCTTAATATGGTGATCATTTCTGTGAAATAGTTTTAAAATCTGACTTCAAATAATGAAGTTATGGGCTGGACAGGATTTTGCTGCAAGGTCATGCTGTGACCTTGACCTTCAAGGTAGCGACCCAAATGTTGGGCGCAACACGTCGGCTCAATATGGTGATCATTTCTGTGAAATAGTTTTAAAATCCGACTTCAAATAAAGAAGTTATGGACCGGACACGATTTTGATGAAAGGTCATGCTGTGACCTTGACCTTCAAGGTAGCGTCCCAAATGATGCGCGCGACACGTCGTCTCAATATGGTGATCATTTCTTTGAAATAGTTTTAAAATCCTACTTCAAATAAAGAAGTTATGGACCGGACACGATTTTGATGCAAGGTCATGCTGTGACCTTGACCTTCAAGGTAGCGACCCAAATGTTGCACGCGACACGTCGTCTCAATATGGTGATCATTTCTGTGAAATAGTTTTAAAATCCGACTTCAAATAACTAAGTTATGGGCCGGACACGAATTGGGACGTACGGACGGACGGAAGGACGGACAGACGGACGGACGGACAACCCGACGACTATATGCTCCCCCGAAATTTTTCGGGGAGCATAAAAAGCGAAATGATCCTGAGACAGTTTCAACGACATTGCTCACAAAAAAAAACTCTTAAAATTGATAGTGAACTTGGCTTCCCTTATTCATGTTAGACATATTATTTTTTGAAATCTTAATACTATTACTACAGTACTGCTTAGACGTAACGATCATAAGAAAGTGATAGATGAAATTGAACATTACACTTATATCAAGACAATTAACCCATTCATCCCAAAATATCAAACTGTTATATCGCATGTCAATTAATGCTAATTATATTATCAAAGCAATAAAAGTTATTACACCTACCTGAAACATGTAAATATCACACATGCCGCGGTTAAATTGCACCCATCTCAATACACGGTAATTGACAACACCTGAAAGTGCACCAACAGTCGTCTGCAGACATCGATGACAGGTGTCTGTGACGTCACACAGTCTAAAGGCAATCAGTGTATCGGGTTGTGTATACGCCTCGGGTAATTATCTACACCGGACATGTATATTGGCTTGTTTATTTGGCTAATTGGGGTTAACTTATAGACACAAAAGAAAGGGATATCGGTCATTTTTTAAAGCGCTTTGATAATTTTAAGCGCATCGGGATTTTTTGTTCTGAAATTTTAGCGCATCGGTGCCGATGCGCTAAAAGCGCCTGGGGAATTCCCTGATTTTAGTAAGGATAAAGCATTTGTAAGACATGGGAATTAAATAAAGTATTACCTCCTTCAAAAACCAATCTTCCTTAATAGCTGAAGAACCTTCATATATATATATACACTTGGTGTTTCCAAAGCACCAAAGTCAAGTTGTTATCTTGTTAGTAAAAATGCAGTGACGGATGGACGGAAAAATGCCAGGGTTATTACATAATACGATCGTATAAGCAAATTTTTTAGGGCATATAATTTATATACTCAATATATCATCCTTTGACCGTTGTAAAACTGTTAACAATATTAAGGTCATTTGATATTGACCTTGTGACCCAAATATAGATATGGATATTTTATTCAATATAGGCATCCTATGATGTTTGAACACTGTAAGCCAAAAGGACCTTGTGTTATGCTCCAAAAAGCATAATTTTCAATGTTAAGGTCATTGTGAACCTGACCTTTGATCTTATGACCCTAAAATCAATAAGGGCCATGTATTGGACATGGCTGTTCATCCTATAAAATTTTACAGCTGTAGTTTGATTAATACTTAAGTGAATGAGCGGAAACTTTTTTTTAGTTTATAGTGACCTTTGACCTTTTGACCCCAAAATCAATAGGGGCCTTCTACCCAATATTGACAATCATCCTATGAAGTTTGAACACTGTGGGTCAAATGGAACTTAAGTTATGCTCCAGAAACCACAATTTTCAGTGTGAAGATCATTGCGACCCTGACCTTTGACCTTATGAACCTAAAATCAATAGGGGTCATGTATTGGACATGGTGTTCATCCTATCAAATTTTTCAGCTGTAGGTTGATTAATACTTAAGTTATTGAGCAGAAACCGTTTTCAGTTTTAAGGTCATAGTGACCTTGACCTTGGACCTTGTGACCCCAAAATCAATAGGAGTCTTCTTCCCATTATGGACAATCATCCAATGAAGTTCGAATGTTGTGGAGCAAATGGAACTTAAGTTATTGCTCCGGAAACTGTTTTCACTTTTAAGGATATAGTGACATTGACCTTTAATCTTGTGACCCCAAAATCAATAGGGGTCTTCTACCCAATATGGACAATCATCCTATGAAGTTTTAATATTGTGGGTCAAATGGAACTTAAGTTATGCTCTGGAAACTGTTTTCACTTTTAAGGTAATAGTGATCTTGACCTTGTGACCCCAAAATCAATAGGGGTCTTCTACCCAATATGGACAATCATCCTATGAAATTTGAATATTGTGGGCGAAATTGAACTCAAGTTATGCTCCGGAGACCAAACTGCTGACGGACAGAAGGATGCCAGGGGGTATAACATAATATCCCCGAAATTCTTTCGGGCATATAAAAATATAGGTAAAGTTAAAATCTTACCTAAATATATTAGCTATTCCTGTAAATGCATATAATGAAGTAAATGCCAGGAGACATATCTTTATAGGTGTCTCTGAAAAAAACAAAAATCACTGTTACTTTTATCCCTTACTAGTTACTTAGCAACACAAGATCTTAGCTTATGTACATTTGTAAGGTGTATAGACTGACATGATTTAAAAGCATAAACTATTAGTATAGAAATCATAAAGATTATAAATAAAATTAATAATCCATTTAATACTATAGTGCCATGTTTTATTATTCTATGATTGAAAACATTCTGCAATAATTTGTTCATTTAGAAATTAAATGGTTAGAAAATGTGTCCATTTCTAAACAAAAGCATGAAATTTGTGAATAAATTATAGGGTCTGTAAAAGGTCTTCTACTAAGCCAAGTTATTATCATAAACTGCTAGATTTAGTAAAAGAAAGTCAAACTAATATGATTAGTTCCAATTTGAAAAATAAAGCAATTTAAACAGCTCAAAAGGAAAGACTTAGTAGTGACTGTAGCTGTTAGAAATGTTTCATTTTTTTCATTAGTGTCTTACTTAACTTAGTTGTTGACCTACTTTTTGTTCACAAGCCCTTTGTTTTTCCAGATAGACGTGGCATTTAAAAGAAAGGTTGAAAAAATGCTATGGAAGGCAGTTAATGTGAACTAGATTGTCAAATATTTTCAAATTTATGTCTTTTTTTCATTGGACAAAGACTAACCACAGTTTGATCTTTAAGTTGCACCTTTATTCCATTTTACATATTTTTTTAACTATAATAATATATCTTTAAAGGAACACAACTTCCAATTAAAAATACAGAACATAATTAAAATAGTAAATATATTGTTAACACATAAATTAATATTATCAGAATAAGGCACTATCAAACCATTTAATTACCTAAAATGTGTCATGTCAATAAATAGCTTTTTCCTCATCAATAAATGGTTTGAGATATGGTGATAAAAAAGTAATTTTTGGAAAAAACAAAAATATAAAGCGACTTTTTATACATTTCTCAAAATCTTGGGGTTTTAGATATTTGAAACTTGGTTTGCTCATCTACAGCCCTACAGCTTTAAAGCTTGCACACAAAATCTTTACAAAACTTTGACGCCTACATGACTACAACTTGAAAAAGAAATCTAAAAAAAAAACATCCTTAATAGCGCAATTGAAAATAGTAAAATGCTTGCTTTAGTTGAGCTTGTTATTGGACAGTAATAGTATGTGAGTCAACGCTCTCTAACACAGGCTGAAACACAATGCTTCAACATGAAATACTAAAATTGTGAATTCATAAACACCATACAAGATACATACCAAACTGTGTAAATAATAAAGGAAACAATGAGTAATGACCAATGGTAGACATGATAAGATAGATCTGAGCATCCTTCTTTTTATCTATTGCCAGTAAACTGAAATAACAAAAACAAATCATTAAATAAAAGTGTACATTTTACAAGTAAACTTCATCTTGGAAATATCCAGTATTTGTCTCTGATATGGAACCTGCTGGTAACATATCACATTTAAGTAAAATTATGCCATTCCTAGTGTAAATAGTGGCTGTGCAGGTTAAAATTCAAAATAACTACATTTTGCCTAAAAGTTGCTTTCAATCTTACAATTTAGTTTGCATGAATTATCAATAATCTATAGGAATCTGTTTTTCACAATATTTTTTAACACTACACTACCCTGTTTGAAAATGCAAAATTATTTTTTTTTGGAAGGGTTTTACATCGCACTAACAGTTTTGTCGACTTTCCAGCTTTAATGGTTTAGGAAACTCTGAGGTGCTCTTCTGTGCATTATTTCATGCACAAAAGGCAGCTGACGACAACCCGGCCTTCCTTTAGCTAGCTGGATAGCTTCCTAACATGGAATAATCCAAAGTCCCTGTCAGGATTTGAACCCACAACAATGAGGGGCAAGTGATTTTAAGTCAACAACCTTAACCACTCTGCCACAGACAACATTCAAAGAAACTATTTCACTCACCTTAGTGGAATTATAATCATAAGAACTGCTTTTTCGTGAACATGCCAACCAAACATGAATGATCCAAATGCACATAATGTTAAAGCTCGTAGGAAAGTCTGTCCACCTCGAGGTCTACTCCATAAGGTATATAATGCTGGCTACAAATAATTATAATATTACACTGTATTATAAAGTACAGATGGCTAGATTTATTTTATAAGAATAATATCTAATATTTCTAAAACAAACTTTCTTTTTAACTCCTGCTGGAACCAAAGTAATTAGCTTTTGCCACCAATACAAAGCCAGGACATGCTTGCAGTCATTTTCTAATCAGACTCCGCATGTATATTGGTGATATATCAACTTTTGTATTTTACAGTGACATTATGTTCATTTTTTCATAGTCATAGTTATGCTTAATGACAAAGATGAACTTTTATAATGGTGAATGACCAACACTTGATCTAAAATAATGAAAATACTGCTCCAATCTAAATTGAATGTTACATGTAAATTGCAATGCATATTTAAAGTACTTTCCTTAGCCTATGTGACTTGCTTATCTTTCTTACGAATAAAATTATAAAACTGAAAGGAATTATGTCAAAATGTACACTTATTATGACTTTAACCTGTTTCACTCATTATATACCCTTTAATGGGCTTAATGTCCCTTTAATACTGAAATCCCTTCAACTTTGAATGGACTGTTCCAAATTCAAAGCAGGGCAAGTACATTACAGAAAATTAAGGGACACAAATAAGAATTTATTTCAAAGGTGATCATTACAAATTGTCTCTTTTAAAAAATAAATATGTGTCTTATTTTTTTTTTAAATCGCAAATCTAACCAGATGTAGGTAAATAATCTAAAGTAATAAGAATGCATCAAAATAAAGAAAGGAAGATTTCTACATAAAAAGATTCCTGAAATGACATACCAACATGGAGACGGCAGATAATATAAAGGTAACAAGAGGGGGTATTGAAGGCAATACTATGTGCTCAAATTCTTGTACCAAACCTCCAGTCATAGATGCCGACTGGTTTCCAGCTTCTATCAATCTTAGTCTGGTTCCTGAAAATAGAGAAAACAAATGAAAACAAAGACATGAAATAATACAAAAATATGCTCAATTTTCTGAAAGAAATCCCTAGCCAAAAAAAAAAACAACAAAAAAAACCCCCGTCTGATTCTCCATTTCAATCACAAATTAGCATGATTCCTTAAGATTTACTCATGTAAAAAAATTGATTTTTTTTTCTAGATGACCAAGTTATGTCAACAGTTACATTCTGAATAATTAAACCTTAACCAGGTGGATTTGTCCAGCTTTGAAACTGGAACAGTTCATTTAATATCTGAGGGATATCAATATTAATTATATCAATTAAAATACACAAATTGAACAGCCAGCTGTATAGAGCCTGGTCAGGACCGACAGATTTGTATTTATAGCTAAAGCTAATCACTTCCTGGCCTAGCAAGATAATGGTTAAAATGTTTCACTACAATTAAAATTTGTGACTTTCCACATTATTTGAAGAGCTAAATTAAATGATTTCATTTTTTATCAAACAATAACAATAAAGAGATGATTATTACTTTAAGAGGATAAAAAAGGCAAGTCTATTTGACATATCAAATACAAATGTACAAGACTTTAAAAACCTACCTGCAACAGCAAGTGTTTTATCAGCAATGTTGTAAATTGCCCAGAAGTTTGGTGCCCAGTATGCATGACACAGACCTCTCTTAAAGGGAAATAACCTTGACAAAACTTGTGGCACTTGACCCTAAAATATTAAGGTAAAAGAAAACCCACTGAATAACAATAAGATAAACCCTTAAGTTAATGAATTTCTAAAATTGACTTGTCTGGCTTTCATTATTCTGGAACTAACCATTACCAATTTTGGGGATATCAAGATGAAAATATACAATTAATCAGCCACCAGTATAGGGCCTGGTCTGGCTGTATGGATGTGCAGGCTGGTCTGGCTCTCTACTGGAAGCAAAGACTTAACAACTTTTGGCTCCGGCAAGATAAAGGTCAACACACTTTTATTACAAGATTTGTCGGTAATCATATTTCAAATAAAGGTAAGTAATTTCATTTTCAATGATTATTTTAATAAAATAAACTGCTCATTAATATCGTTCTTATTTTCACATTTATCTTTAAATGTTATATTGAGTGACTCATTAAAATTTGTTATAATTATACATCTAGCTTACTTTTAATTTCTTACAAAATGTTTATTACAGTAATGTGATTTAATTATGTGTTTAAACAAGAGTTGTCATAGAACAGCGTGCTTGACTATTCTCAGTGCTTGATAGTAAAACAAGAGCCTGGATAATGTTTAAAAAGGGCAATAATTTTGTCAAAATCCAGGTTAGAGTTATTGGCCTTGGACACAGTCCTCCTTTTATGATTTCATATGATTTCCCTTTCGTAGATTTGGAGATGCCAACTTGCATGCAAAAACTTAACCAAAGTGTACTGACAACAACAGGGCGAGTACTATTGGTCTCCTTTTCTTAAAATTTACAAGTAAAAAAACAAGTTCAAGCAGAATAAGAATAGGGGAAGTATATACGCAATTATATAATAAACTTACCAGAATTATAAATGGACCAAAAGAGAGAGTAAATACACCTACAACAATTATACCCAGTCCTATCAATCTAAGAGGTGAGAATGATCTCCATCTTAAACTTCCATCTGAAAATATACAAATCATTTCAGTTCAGTAGTCTTATTCATATATCTATCATTCTTTATACAATATCTTAATATTAGCCTTGTTAGGTATAGTAACAAGATATAGAATATTTCATATGGTTCACTATTGACATACAAATAGCATTAGAAGAATCATTAGGGTATGTGTTATGTTTTTAAATAATTTATCACACACCCGTGCCGATTTTGCGACTCCGTAAATATGGTATTGCACGGCCGTGCATATATTTTGACGTGACGTCATTAGCGTTATACAAACATAGTGTAAAGAGGCGCTAAATGTTAGCGTTATACTTTAGGCGCGTCAATGTAAAATGACTCTTATTTCACTTTAAACGGTCTTTATTTTGGGTATGTGATAAATAGAATATTAAATTCGTGTAAGTTCAACACTGAATTTATTGCATTCGTTGAATAAAATAATATTATGCTCGCCAGAGGCTCGCATAATATGATTTTATTCAACTCGTGCAATAAATTCAGTATTGAACTTACACTCATTCAATATCCTCTATATAATAACAAATCCTTAGTTACTTCAATATAAAGAATCATGGTAACATCAAAAGGAATCTGCAATTTTCATGTAATTTTGTTGTGATAATTGCTTCTGAGGGATCACCCTTTCTCAAGATCTTCAGTAACACTTGTACATTTATAGTGCTTAAATAAAGTTTTGTTTATCCGTTTTAGATTTTAGGTCATATCTTAACAGGGAGTCGGTCCACCTAAGTGGCTTTACCGGATAACTTACCAGATCCCACATGATTTCTGAATCAGCTATGAGAGACAAATGACCATTAGACTCAATGTCTAAGATCAGTTGTTATGGAGAAATTTCCCTTTGCCCAGGGATTGAACCAGCCACCCCTGGATTATACATCCAATGTTTTCCCTATTAAGCTAAGCACTAAAGTATAGTACATTTTGTAAATCAAAGTACATGTACCAATTATCAATTTTAAGCTGTAAGTTTTTTAGAATGACTAGTTATTTTTCAACCTTACCTTCATTACTTGTAAATACATAGCATCTGAGGAGATATATGAAGTATGCTGGTGCTATGTATAGAAAGATGTGCTTGAAATTGAGTAAAACTGCAAACCAAAATGCTGCCGCCATGTTATGTCCCTGACAAAAAAAACAGATGTTAATATATTTAGAATGTTTATTACTTTGTTTCTTACACAGATTTTTATTTTCTGATACCGTATTTTCTGGACAAAATGTTGCTGTACTGTATAGGCCACACCCTTCTAAATCATCATTTTAGATCGCTCTGGCACATAGGCCATTGCTGATAAACCTTATAGGCAGCTTGAGCTTATAAGCTGCATCCCTGAATATTTCTTTTTAGTGCATAGGCCACAGCCTTTTGTCTGGTCAATATAGTAGTAAAAACTAGGATTATTCTAACAGTTCGGAGAAAATACATATTCTTCCCTTCTTAGTATTTCCTTGCTGTATAAAATGTTAATACTTTTTCATCAATATTTCTATGTAACTTTCGCAATTTCAACAAGTATATCATTATAAATAAAATGTAATATTAGTCAAACTAATATCAAATTATCAATTAAAATTAATCATATAATAACAATTTTATTTTAAAGGGGCAATACAATTAGGCAAGCCCAGTCTTCCCTATGTGCCTCTGCATATATAACATAGAACCTGGTATGTGATTTAGAAATGTTTAACATTGTCCCTCTCACCTGTTAATATTCGAACCACTGGACAGTAACAGCTATTGACCATAACAGGAAAACCATTTGTAACTGGGAAAGGATATGTCTGATGTAATTAAAGTTAAGGGCCACTAAATACATAGTATAGATAATATTCAATTTTCATTTCTTGACTTATCAAGTCCTGTCGAAATGTAAACCATGTAGGTTTTAGAAAGTATTCAAATTCAAGTAAAGGTTTGATCTTTTAAATGATTATAGGGAGTAATTCAGTAATCAATAACAGTTTTTTTTCATTTTCTGATGAATCAGATATATTGAAATTTTTCTTACATCCTCGGAAACACTGGAAATTTTATCGGTGGCCAAACAAGACGTCACGCCAACAAAAAAAAAAACCGATTTGGCTAAGGGTCAAGGGAGGATATTTTAATTCTTCAGGGCTGGAAAATAACAACAGTTATTTTTAACAGAATTTTAAACTGATGATATGGATCGCCAATCTTCCCTCGGATCATTTTGAAATTTAAACATTGTATACTAGAGCTGGTATAAGGAAGGATCACCCGCTCAATAATTTGATAAGACCAAAGTTTGTGTGAGTAAGATAGCAGCTAGAATCAAAGGAGCGCGACTGTAAAAAATCCTCCATGTTACCTCCCAAACGTTCTTCCGTTTAAAACTTGAGGAAATAAATTGTATATCCTGAAATATATAGTAAAAGTAAGCCTTCATACCCTTTTCAAAAAAACAAAAAAACAGATACACGAGCTGTCCAGTAGGACAACTTGCCCACTATTCTCAGTTGCTTTTATAGTAAAACAAGATTCAATACAGAATTTTCTAAGTTCCG